AGAAGAAGAAGAAGAAGAAAAAGAAGAAAACGAAATAGCAATGCCTCTGTTCTGGCTGTGCTAATAGACTGGCAGCTGTTCGCGGGGGCCTTGTTGGACAGCACCGGTCGAAAAAATCGGACAGAGAACCGCGACGCGGTTCCTGAGTGATGCGTACTGCAAAGGCATCGTGCGCGGGCAGGTAGAATGTTGCAACCTGCGTGCGTATCAGAAGGGCAGCTGCGTCGTGGCTGCGGAGCGCATCAGCACAGCAGCCTTCTGCAGCTTCCCTGGTCGAGCTTTGTTGCAGGCGGTCAATGTCGCCGTCGGCGAAGAGGCAGTGGGGCACTCGGGCAGCAGATACGTGTGGGGCAAAACAGGGCCCGGCGGCCGCCAAAGCTTACGGGAAGTGAACCCTGCGCACGCGTATGGCCACAGACCGTCGCGCCCGGACATATGGTGTTTGTCTCCGTACGAATTTACGACAACGTGGGAGCTGGAGCCACTGCGGATTCCACGGACACGTAGTGAGTGGCAACAGCTGCGCGGCACGCACTCGGATGTGACTTTGACAGCCAGGGGCGCCGCAAAATTCGGCACGGCCGAGGCAGACAACTGCAAGGTGCGGCTGCTGCCAGGCGTCGACTTCAGAAGAGCACAGGGCGCAGAAAGCCGGAACAAGGCGTATTATCCGTCAAGCGCCGGAAACGCGCTGTGCCACGCCTGGTGTTTGCGTCGCAAAGCCCGACCACAGTGCCCCCAGATGGCCAGCGCGCCGGTGCCGAATAGAACGGGCGAAGACACGGAGAGCAATGCGAAGATGACGATGACGTATTTTCGGGCATGGACACTGGACAAAAAACGTAGTGGAGACAAAGTGCGGTACATCAAGCACTTGCGTGAGCCAGGAACGACATGGGACAGAAGCTTGCGCAGGTGGTTGCTACAGCTGCCATGTGCCGAGACAAAGCAATACGTGGGGAACTTCTTGAGCGTGTACCGCGTTCGGCCGGACACCGAGCTGGACAATAGCGACAACGAGGACGACAATGAAGATCTGGTTGTGACGGAAGAGTTGTTAGGCGTAGCCTGCCAAACACATGTGGCAGTGGAAGAAGACAACCACAAAGAAAGCAAGTGGTCCACACATCGACGTTTGCTCGTGGACGCGTTACAGCGCGCCGAACAGCACTGGGGTGGCCGCGGCGTATCGAAGAGTGTGCCGGGAGAAGTGGGAAACCCATATGCGACAATGGACACGAAGGGCATCGTGAAAGGTTTGCATCGCGCGGCGGAGGCCCCCGCAGGGAACGCAACGCAGACGAAACTAGAGCCGAGCGTGACGCGACGGCCCGGCCGGTTGCAGGAAACCCTGGCGGCTATCGACCGGTGGAGCAGCACGGTCGCCGACGGCAAATGCAACCGCAAACAGGCCGAACTCTGTCAGCGCGTCGCGCAACAGGTCAGAGCAGAGCTGCTGGCAGAAGACGGCGCCAGTCCGCAGCCACTGCGCTGGGTCGTGCACGGGGGTCCCGGCACGGGTAAATCGCACACGTTGAAATTGATCCGTCGCGAGCTCTTTGAAGGTATCGCCGGGCGGACGCATGGCTCGCAATACCACGTCGTCACGCTGCAGGCGGTGATGGCCAAGGAACTGGACGGCGATACCATTCATCACGCGATGGGCCTAAATTGGCAAGGCGCGTCCGACGACAAGATCAGCGGAAGCAAGTTCCTCGACCTGAGTGCGAAGGCCGTGCAATGGCGGTGGCTGATCATTGATGAAATCAGCATGGTAAGCGCTGAGCTGCTGGCAAGAATGGATTTACGATGCCGAGAGCTAGTGCGCGATCTAGCGCAGAGCAAGTACGCCCCGGGCAGCGCGCACGCGCAGCCCTTCGGAGGGTTGAACGTACTAGTGGCAGGGGATTTATGGCAATTGCCACCACCGCGCGGAACTTTTTTGGGGGAAGTGCCTTGGGAAATGTTGACCAAGGGGACCAGCAAAAAAGTCGCCCACACCGTGCATGGGCAGAAGCTGGTGTGGGGCTCGCAGGCGGAGAACAGCATCATCCACGGCATCACAGAACTAGAGCAGTGTGAGCGCACGCGAGACACATGGCTGCAGACGCTGCAGCAGCAGATTCGGGAAGGTGCTTTGAGCGCCGACAATCACGCATTTCTGCATGGGCACGACACAGGTGTCCCGGGAAGTTGGTCCGGGGAAAAACTGGACTGCGAAAACGCAGCGTGCCAGCAACTGCTGCAGAGGAAGGTCGTCCCGGCTCGCATTCGCACACTGGAGTGCAAGCAATGCCAGCACGAACGCGCCTCGAAAAAGCGGGTGTTGTGACGAGCAAAGGAAGCTGGAGCAAGCAAAGGCTGTTTTTGCGACGAATGCGGTGAAGTACCACGTCAACAAGCTGCGTGCACTAGACTGGGCACGCCAGCACCGGCAAGAGGTCAAATATGCCATTGCAAAAGACACAATTTCCAGCCGAGCGTTGCAAGAAAAACCGGACTTGGGCAAAGACAAGTTGACATGGCTGCAACGTCACGATCAGGACTGCGGCGGGCTGTACGGGGTTTTGCCCTTGTGCATCGGCATGCCTGTCACGGCAACCGATCACTTGGATCGCCGCAGAGGCATACTGAAGGGATGTCCTGGCACAGTTGTTGGATGGAGCTGGCATGAAGCAGCGGGCACAGAAGCAGGGAGTACGACACATATTTGGAATCAGCTCCCAACTTGTGTCTTTGTCCAGTTCCAGACCAAGTCCCAGTGGCGAGTGCAGGGGTTAGCCACGGACAACGTGTTTCCGGTGACGCTCCAACGGCAAGCGTGGCATCTGGACAAGGGCCGAAAGCGGCCCATGCTGCGGGTGGTGCGACGGCAATTTCCGTTGGCTCCCGGGTTTGCCACGACTGCGCACGCGGCGCAGGGCCAAACTTACGCAGAAGGGGCGGTCACGGACATGCAGATCGGCGAAGGCGGAGACCCTCTGACCGCATACATCGCTGTGACGCGAGTGAAAGATAGACACGGGTTACACATATACAGACCCTTCGATGCTGCACCCTATCAGAAAGGACGCAGCGTAGGGAGAGCTTTGCTGTTGCAGGCCTGGCGCGGAGAGAGCATTGACTGGGCAACGTTGCGCATGCGGCACCGCGAGGAGGAAGTGTGTCGCGAGTGCCACGAAAGCAAACCCAGAAGCGGGTACAGCGCCGGGCAATGGAAACGGGACGCGGACGCACGTGTGTGCAGAGAATGCGCGCGTAACTACGCAGCCAACAACACGCCCTGGCAATGCAACAGTTGCAAGGCATGGAAGCACGAAGACGCCTTTGCAAGAATGTACGCGCGCCCCCAATGCACGTTCTACCGCGTGTGCCAGACGTGCGAGGCACAGAAGCGGTGCTACAAGTGCGGCACGGCCAAGCCGGAAAGTGCATTCGGGGCGGCCGCGTGGAAAGGGCGCCATGCAGACCGACGTGTCTGCAGGGACTGCGCCATGAAAGTCAAGGGTGCGTGGCGCTGCGCCGTGTGCACGGAACGTAAGGCGCGCAATGGCTTCAGCGCCTGGTCCAGGCAGCGCGCTGCACCGCAAGACGGAACGCAGCGTTGCAACGCTTGTGTCCTCAGCGCGGCCAAGCGCGCAGCAGCGCAGCGCGCAAACAACAGACGCGCGCGGCGCAGAGGACGGCCTGCCCGGGCGGATGCACGGGTCTACAGCTGCCACGGGCAGCGGTTGCCACGAAGTGTCGCGCATAGAGCCATACGGCGCCTGGCTGCGACGCGGACGAAAGTAGCCGAAGAAAAGAGACAGCAAGTCATAGGTCTTGTACGGGAAGAGATCGCTGACCATGTGCGACAGAAGCAAGCCGAGGATGAGGTGCTCTTTCCCCGGGCGCAGGAGCCGAACCGGAGCAAAGAAAGCCAGACGGCTCAAAGCAAGACGGAACCGGAGGCACAAAGGCTCTCCACAGACAGCATGCCGTCGCGCAAACGCCGCATGGAACTACGACAAGACAAGCGCGCACAGCCGACGCCCACCAAGACCCAGCCCCGCACTCAGACAATGCAAGTAGCACAGGCAGAGCCTGCAGCGAAGTGTGCAGAAGACGTGTCGGTGAGCAGCCAAGCCAGGACAGCGCCTCCGCCACAACGAAAGTCGCAGGCAAAGCCGCAACAAGCGACGCAAGCCACCCCGACCGTCGCGCAGACGACAAACGCACCGCCGGCAAAGTTGGCTGGACAGACGGCCGCCGCGGAAACGTTCCAATATGCGTGTCCGTTTTGTGAGGTGTCTGTGACCAGCACTGTGCGCACAGGCCAAGTAGATCACCGCCGTGTGCGCGGGAAGTTGTTTCGTGTCAAAGACGGACACGTTGCCGCCAAGAACTTAGTCTATGCGTGTCCATTTTGCAATGGAACTGTGGCGAGTAACGTGAGGACAGGGCGGGTAGATCACCGAACCGTGTGCGGCAACCGATTCCATGTGAAAGAAGGCACGGTTAGCACACAGACGCGGCAGCATGAGGTGCTCGCTCCCCGGGCGCAGGAGCCGAATCGGAGAAAAGAACGCCAGATGGCGCAAAGCAAGACGGAACCGGAGGCACAAAGGCTCTCCACAGACAGCCTGCCGTCGCGCAAACGCCACATGGAACCACAACAAGACAAGCAAGCACAGCCGACGCCCACCAAGACCCAGCCCTGCACACAGACAACGCAAGTAGCACAGGCAGAGCCTGCAGCGAAGCGTGCAAAACACGTGTCGGTGAGCAGCCAAGCCAGGACAGTGCCGCCGCCACTACGAAACTCGCATGCAAAGCCGCAACAAGAGACGCAAGCCACCCCGACAGCCGCGCAGACGACACTCGCACCGCCGGCAAAGTTGGCTGGACAGACGGCCGCCGAGGAAATCTTCCATTATGCGTGTCCTTTTTGTGAGGTGTCTGTCACCAGCACTGTGCGCACAGGCCAAGTAAATCACCGCCGTGTGCGCGGGAAGTTTTTTCGTGTCAAAGACGGACACGTTGCCGCGAAGAACTTAGTCTATGCGTGTCCATTTTGCAATGGAACTGTGGCAAGTAACGTGAGGACAGGGCAGATAGATCACCGAACCGTGTGCGGCAACCAGTTCTGTGTGAAAGAAGGCACGGTTAGCACGCAGACGCGGCAGCATCCGCACACATGCCCAGCGTGCCAGACTGTGGTCTGGTCATCACAGTTGTTTGGGCGCGTTCGGTGCCAACACAACACGCCAGCGGGAAAACCGTGCCCGAAAAACACGTGGCAAGTTCAAGAGCGCAAGCACGAAACAAAGAAATAGAGTATAGACCAATCATCCGGAAGCCACGCAACCACCGGGCAAACGGGAGCCGCGCCAGGCTGTGTTGCAGGACTAGGCCAAAGGTGCCGGGAAGGGTTTGACGGTGCCTGGAGGACCCCAAAGAAACGAGGTGCAGGCCGAGGTGGCAGGTTCCAGAGGTCAGTTCTAAGGCTGCAGTGTACGGTTCCAGAGGGTTTCGCGCTGGGGAGGGTTTGAACGCTGCGGAGGGCAGGCCTGCTGCCGAGAAGAGGGCAACGCTGCGGTGCAGGAGTAGGCCAAAGGCGCTGCCGAGGGTTTGAAGGCGCTGCAGAGAGTTTGAAGGCGCTGGGGAGGGTTTGAAGGCAGTCCAAAATGTCTAACGTCGCTTTTGGAAGCCCATAAGAAGAGAAGAGGCAAGCCTGCTGCCGAGAAGAGGGCAAGGCTGCGGTGCAGGAGTAGGCCCAAAGGCGCTGCGGAGGGTTTGAAGGCGCTGCGGAGGGTTTGAAGCCGCAGGGGAGGGTTTGAAGGCGGTGCAAAATGCCTAACGTCGCTTTTGGACGCCCATAAGAAGAGAAGAGGCAGGCCTGCGATGCAGGAGTCGGCCAAAGGCGCTGGGGCTGCAGTGCACGGGCTGCACGTTCCAGAGGCTCTCTCCCCAGGCTCCCG